TAGTGATGTACTAGTGATCAAACGCCGTATAGCCATATTTATCTGGCACAAGAAAATGCTACTTACGTGACGGTACCTTTCATAACTTGGTAGGTATATCTTTCGTCGTAGATTAACATAGTGCTACTTACCTGGCAAGGAAATGTACTTTAAATAGGATAGGGACCAAATTAAGTTTCAATGTAGAAAGCTGTGTCTCAATTCGCACTTATTAAACTGAGTAAAACTGCCCTACCATAAGCATCAATATGTACAAAGCAAACAGTATTTCTATATTGAGGTGCGAAAATAGTCCCCCAAAATGGTATGGTTCTCTTGTTAAAGAAGCGTAACTGTTGCAAACATATAACTTGCATGTGAATGTAGCATTCCTGTGTTTACAAAACAGTTTTACGTCTGGAAATTGTATATTTTTATCATGGTCAGAGAAAAACCTCAATACAGGTGACCTTTAATCTTATCTCTACGTAGAACATTTTACATGGTACTTATCCCATTCATTAATGCTGCAGTTAAGTGATAATCTGGATATATAGGTGTACGGTACTTAACTGGCACAGGAAAGATCATCTTCCACGAGATGGTAATTATTCCTTGTTATATACCCTTGATTCCTAATCCCCACACAAACAACATATACGTGTTTATATACATATTTATAATATATGCATTTGTAATGTATATATGCAAAAGCTATTCATATATATGGGTCAGGTAGATCATTGGTTTTACTACTGCAAGTTTCTACTACTGGCTTGCTGGAGTCAAGATCATAAAGGAAGGGAACTGGCCACCCTACCATGCTATCCGCAGGTTAAAATGAATGATTTTCTAGGAGAATGTCCCTTCTATTCTCTTGGGTATGTCTGCACACGAGTGATATACATCGTATAGTGGTACTTACCTGGCACAGGAAAAGGTAGTTATTACATTCAGTATACTCTTCGTCGCATATTAGCGTAGTGCTACTTACCTGGCACAGAAACTGATGTACATCGAACATGACTGTGGCCAAATAACGTTACAATCTTCATTATGGTAGTGTCAATTGTACTAGGCGAACATTATTTCTTTATAGAGGTGGGAAAATGGTGTATATTTACCCCCACAATATAGTATGGCTCTCCTCAAATAGTGCATATTTCCGCCAAAATATGGTATGGTTCTCTTGTTAAAGAAGCGTTACTGTAATACAGAAACGAATGTCACACATGATTTACATTACGCGAATGTATATTTCTGTTTACATAACAGTGGTACTTATCTGGCACAGGAAATTGTATTCTTCTAATGTCATGGTGGTCAAAGTGGGTCAAATTCAATACAGAAGGTTGGTCCCTTAATTCTTACTATGTAAGGAAAAACTTTTATTTTCTACAGGGAGCAAGATACGTAATGGGGAGATAGCAGTTATTGCTTAAAATAGTGATATTAAGCTTAAACGATAAACAGGTAGCATTGACATATTTCAAGGGTGGTACTTATCTGGCACAGGAAACTAACTTTCCCTGTATTGGTACTTATCCTGCTCATGAAAACGATATTTATATGGTATAAATATAGTGCAGTGGTACTTAACTGGCACAGGAAAGATGATCTTCAATCGGATACCATTATTTTTTATCACATGAACATATCCTCTCCCTAATCTACATACACACATATAAATATACATAGGCTATTCATATGTATAGAAGTGGCGTAAGTGGTAGAGCGCTGGCTTTGCTACTGCAAAACCAGAGCCGGTAGCTGAGGTCAAAGGAAATAGTCATCCTACCATATTATCCGGCAGATTAGTATGCATGGGTCCTAATATATATATATATATATATATATATATATATAATATATATATATATATTATAATATTGTATATATATGTGTATGTGTGTGTGTGTGTAAATTATGTATACACGTGTGTATATTTACCATGTGCAGTTTATAAGGAATGATATACCAGTACTTAAACATCGTTTGGTGGTACTTATCTGGCACAGTAAAGTGGGACCAAGAAACTCTTCTTGGTGGTTTCACCGATTCATATGTATCTGTTATATATATATATATATATATATAATATATATATATATATATATATATATATTATATTATGTGTATGTATATCTACATTATGTAGATATATACAATTATAGATATATTACCAAAACTTCTATATATAATTTTTACATGTATTTTAATATTCTTAAATATGTTTGCATATGCATGCTTACACTCAAATATCAAAAGGTGGTACTTATTTGACACATGAAGGTGGTCCTCCTGGTTACATGGAACCACGGACTTATATGACAAGGAAGATATATAATATGATGAAGTGGTACTTATCTGGCACAGGAGAGCTATACCGTCATGCCATGCGGATTTATCATAATGAAGTACCCGACACAAAAGACCTATAATGCCATGTCATGTCAAAATCCTTGCTGTATATATATAATATATATATATATATATATATATATATATATACATATATATATATACATATATATATATATATATATATATGCACAAACTTACATGATAAACAGATAATGTTAAAGCAGAATGGTACTTAACTGGTATAGAAGTTGGTGCTTCCGTTTCGAACACGCTTCAACCTGCCCTAAACTTGACCTAAAACAAACCCATTAAAGTCAGGCCAACTCTATCCTGGTCCTATGTAACCTAACTGAATCAAACTGAATATAACCTAATCAAATGGAATCCATCCTAACCCAATATGGCCTACACAAACCCAAGCTAACTTAACCGAACCAACCGTACCCACTATAATCTAGTAGAACTCAATCATACCCGATCTAACGTAACCCAGCCCATTAAACTATCCCAGCCCAAGTTAACTTGATCTAACTTAACTAAATCCAACTGAACCATACAATCATTCATGATTCATTATCTCTGTTATTATACAGTTGTCACAGAAGAAAAAGGAGTTTCGAAGAGATACTATGATACATCATATCTGATTTTCGAAACACTGGTCCAGGGACTATTCATTTTTACCTAGTCAACATTAAGAGGAAAAAAATACTTCACGAATATATCAAACAAAGCAACTTGATAATTCATTTAATAGGCACTTTTCTACCCGCAGATTTTTATTCTTGGAAGACGTCTATACAACCGGACTCGCCGCCAAGAAAGGAGGAATCTCTCACTATAACATATTCACTCTTACAAACTCTCTACCCAACAAAATTGACGTGTTTTGGTGTTCGGGAGCAAGAGTATTTCAAGTAAGTATATAATGGCTGAATTTCTGGCTATTCAAGGGCGTTTGATATGGCTGTTCGTAAAATTTTAAGACTACAAAAAGCTCTGCCAAAAAATGAAACAAAATTTAACTCCTTTAGTGCGCATTTTCACCTCGAAAGTATAATTAACCTGGATATGCAATGAATTATCTCTTCCTTGCTGTAAATATCTAAATTTTCTTTGTGATAAACATGTAGTCTACTTTCTGTGTATGTATGCATAGAGAGAGAAAAGGTGTTCATGGACATGTATTCCCTCCCTCTCAATATATATATATATATATATATATATATTATATATATATATATATATATATATAAGTATGTATGTGTATACCTATATACTATATAATTCCTATATAATACATGAACATTAATCTAACGCATATTTGATTACTTCCTTCAGGAAAATGTAGGTCTAAAAGAAGCAACGAGAGGCTGGAACAAGATTCGTGAGTTAGAGGGCATCATTGAACCTCCAGAATATGTCTTCACTCCCTGACATTCAACTGTTATCGTTCCTCTTATTTTCCCTTCGTGGTCTGAGTTTCCGTTATGAACTTTCTACTGTATGTGTTGTTTTTGTACTTTGTATTTTTCCTTAGCATATGTCTTTGGCAATACTCTTTGCTAATTATTTACTTACTTTTATATTAATTATTTTGTTTTTTGTTTAATTACACACATTAGATATCTTAAGCCACTTCTTGTTTGACATGCTTTTTTTTTGACACAGAAATGGTATGTTGTACCCTATTCATGACAAACTGAAACACATTTAAGGCTAATATGTTGTAGATTATTTGACTATTTCATATGTATAATAATTATAACATACACTTGTAACTCCCAAATAACATTTCGTAGAACCTACGATTAAAAAGGGGAAGGGTACCAAAAGAAAAATGGAGACATATATTGTACAGAATAACAAATGTGAAAATGTAATAAAGTATTTATATCGACAAGCCTAAATTGTGTTTTCGTGTATTGTAGAAATTTAATTCCATCAATTATTTTCTACGACAGATATAAACACCATCAAATCAATTACTGAACACAATGGACTACAGTAACAGCTACATATTTATTCAACAAAATATTATGACAATCATATTATCATAATGGTATTACTATGTAGGAATAAAACTACGAATAAAAATGTGTACAATTATTATATATTCAAATGTATATAGATAATTTACCAATACTATGTTGTTATAACTGAACTGTCTGTAAAATAAGGCCTATGAATGAACAATTTTCCTATTTTCTGATACGTTAAAAAAAAAAAAAGACTCCATTTACAAGTATAAACAAGTATCATCAAAACCAGCAATGTATATGAGAGATAAACTGGTGGTGCAGACAAATCAAATCAGTTTGAATATAGTGTGACATCGTGTTTATAACGCTAACTAATTATCCAGTGGTAAAAATTATATTGATAGCTCATTATATTTATCTAAATTAATATTCAGCAGTCAAGATTTGGAGCTTTTAATGATTATGAGACCGGCATGCTCTGATATCCGAAGCTTTTTTTTTTTTTTTTTTTTTTTTGGGGGGGGGGTATGGTATCCCGTGGTACTTGCCATACCACAATAATTGTAAGACAGATGACGTGTGATTACTGGGTATCGATAGCATTAAGGTAACTGTGAAATTATGGATTTTGTGATCACTCAAAGTGCCACTTCTAAAGCAAAATCTAGAGACGAA